TCTGTTCTCTGTCACTCTGCTGAGTGGGTTCATCATCTGTGAGAGGAAGTGACTGAGAGTCTCCATCAGCTCCAGTGGACGAGTGAAGCTGAACTGAGATCAGTTATTGACAACCAGAGTTTATCTCCAACGTTCTGCAGCAAACTTTAAAACATGAAGAACTCTGAACAGAGTGACAGTTCAGTGAGAAGACGAGTTCTGCAGAGCAAACACGCTGTGGTTCTCTGCTGTTTTGAAAAATAAAGAATCTATGTCCATTTATTTTCATCATTTCACATGTGAGGATGAAAAGTGGTTTTCTAGCAGGATGAGCGTGAGAGCCACACTAACAGGATGAGTTACTGTACGAGCGACACTGAACCCTGTTAAGAAATGTTCTCCAGATCAGAAACAGAAACTCCGAGGCTCCTCTGGCTGCAGGTTTTGTTGCATCTCTGTCCTGGATCACATTTTCCTGTAAAGACTGAGGCCGGTAACTCGAGCTGCTGCCGACAGGCTCGCTCCGGCCCCAGCGGCGTCTCGTCTTCTCTGCCAGAGCGAGGGGGTAATCCCAGGTGCTGGCAGACACGTGGCCCGGGTTGGTTGAGCTTCTTGTCCATCAAAGAGAGGATGTTTCTACGGCGGCTGTAGAGGTGAAGCTGAGTCTGATGGTTCCACCCGGTGAGGTCTGACAGATGTGGATTAACACAGAAGACACTGAAGAGGCAGTCGTACCTTTCTGATCTGACGCCTCCATGTGAAGCTGTGGAACCCCTGAAGACCAGTTTGGATTCATTTGAAGCAGCTCCGGTCATGCCGTCTTTCTGTGTCCATCTGAGACGGGGGATCCTGCGGAGGTACAGGCAGGTTCCTCAAACTGAGGCTGACGGAGCCTTCAACTACAGCCGAGCCTCGAACAACAGGCGAGGCCGGTTGAGCTCTGGTAGGTCAGACGCCAACCTTCACTCGCGCCATGTTTGTCTTTTAAAATAAGTCGGGAGAACAAGTTTACTTATGTAGACATTTTAATTCAAAACTTTGACATGAAGTCGCCATGAAACAAATACAATAAACTAGGTTCAAGAAAAAAAACGGAAAACATACAGACACAAATACTTGATGTGTCGAAATTTTATTTATCTCTAATTCTGTATAATTGGAGCAAATTAAAACAAAAGTCTGTCTTTTGGCCTCAAGTGAAGAAAAGAAAATTAAGAACTCTTTTTGAGAACAGTTGTGGTTTGTTGACAGTAGGGGTGGAGCTACTGTCACAGTCCCGTGTGTTGTGAGCGTCCGTGCAGCTAATTGAACAGACGTCCACGTCCGCTACAAGTTTCTAAAGTGAGATAGCTTCGTTGGGCAGTGATCTAAACATTAACTTTCATTTCCCCGAATTTCTGTGTTGGTTTCTCAGTGTTTCGTGTTTAGTCGATAAAGATGAATGAAGTTGCTTCTCGACTCAGCTGCTGGTCGGAGGCAGAGCAGCAGTTTGTCACATGATGAAAAATCTCTGATAAAAACACGCGAACGAGCGTTTACATCCAGCGAAGATGGAAATACTGAAAATGAATACATGCTCTGCCTCATGTTGCCTGTTAAACCTTGCGTAAGCATTTAGGTTTTTATTAACTTCTCTCTGCCGTTGTGTTGCGTCGCAGCAGGATGATGGATTTGATCCGCAGTAATGGCCTCTGCTCGGCCAGCGGACTCTGTTGTGTTGGCGTGTAATTTATCAGTCCATGTGACCGCCACAATCTCCCGATCTGAGGCCCTCTCAGTGCTGTGATTATGCAGCCTTCTCTGCAGATCTATAGCTGGACGCTCAAATTGATGCATCGCCTCTATTACAGTATTGAAGCCGTGATGCTCTTAGCCAGAATGGGTTTTAATGCAATTTGGAGCTGCTGTCATTCATTTTCTGCCACCGGTGCCTCCACACAAGCAAACACATCGACTGGGGCTGAGTCAGGAGTTAAAGAAATACATGCGGTGTAAGAGGTTGTAAAAAATTAGCAAAATATTTAAACACGGATCAAATCAGAGGACTGAAAAAATACATAATTGCACAAACAGAGCAAACACTTGAAAACGATTCAGACAGAAAACAGACGTCAGTCAACTTTCTGACATTGGACCAAGCTCAACAAATCGAAGTAGACGTTAAATAAATGTTTGTGATCTTGGAGCAAAGTGGAACAATCATTTCCTTCTGCATTGATAAAGTCTTTAATTCAATGGTAGAAAATTTGACAGCTGAGTCCGACTCCTGATTGGTTGAGCTCTTGTCTCGGGCACCTCGATACCTCTGCTCCACTCCATGATCACACGATGACTCTGACCCCAGACAATGTCTAAAGATGGCGGCGTCAGTATCGGAGATATTTCTGCTTCAGTGGGAGGAAGTGGAAACTCCTCGCCCATCTTTACTCGCAGTCTATGATCTAAGTCCTTGTTGTTGTCATGTAGATTCAGTTTCCTGAAGCTAAAGGACAACATCGGTTTTATTTTATGTTCAGATCTGTTCAGACACCAACGTAATGACTTTCAGCTTCGAGCCCACTGGTTCTGAACACCACTTATATATTTGATATAGAAACAGGAAAGAGGAAACTTTGCATTTATTTTCAGTGCTGGAGTAAAAGCATTTTTTAAATAGGATAAAACTATTGGTTTAAAAAAAAAAAAAAACAGGCAGCGTCACTCATAACATTTAAACCTTAACTTCCTGGAATCAAACATTCATCATTTAGTTAAGCAGGGTTCACCGCCACACATATTATATCAGATCACACACTCACACGTACACGTGCACACTCAGACAGACACTCGAGCTGAACTCCTATTAAGGCTGATTCGTTTTCACTGAGTGGCTGTGGAATAATGAGGATGGAAATAGAAAAGCCATCGCGTCACCTCCGTCTCTGAGAACCCCGTCCTCGAGCTGATTCCTTCCGCTGTCCTCGAACGCCCCGTGCAGGAGGATCCGCAGCCTCCCAGGTGTTCTCACTACATCCTCAACGTCTACACACACACACACACGCTGTGAGTCTGTAGGAGCTCTGTGTGTGTGCGTGCATTTACATTTAATGATCGGAGATGAAGGTTTGTGAATTGGAAATGAGCAGTTCAGGCTCACGCCCACTCAGTAACAATTTATTCACTTCCACTTTATGTTTTACTGCTGAGATCCCATGTGTCCCGGAGTATTACGGCTTTAGAGTCAATTACTTCTCGCAGATAAATACTGAAATATTTCCTAATTTCACGCTAAAATCCACCGTCTTCTACTGCAAAACAAAACAACTGCAGGAAGGTGTACGAGAGGCCGGACACATGTTTTGTGACGTCCCAGTGACCTTGACCTTTGACCTTTGACCAACACAATCTAACCAGGTAATCTCTGAGTGTAAGTGATCGTTTTAGCCAAACTTGAGAGGATTCTCTGGAGGCGTTCTGAAGATAACGTGTTCACAAGGCGCTCACAGTGACCTTGACCTTGATCACACCATCTTTGAGTCCAACTGAACGTTTGTACCAAAGTTAAAGGAATTCCCACAGATGTCCTCCGGCCACCAGGGGTCGCTGCATGACCCTGTCCCCTGTAGAAAATGTCACCGTCTCATGACTGTAAGAGAATTCACTGTTCTCCGCCGCTCGATTGATTATTTACAGATGTTGGTTGAAGTTGTTGTTCAAATGTTCCATGTGCTGTGAATCGATTTCCTGGGACTCGATGAGCTGTAGGAACAGAAATCATGTGTCTGTGAACGATGAATGATTTTCTTCATGTTTTTTTTTTTATTATTCTATATTCAGACGGATGTTCCAGTGACTTTCTGTGAAAATGACTTTGTGCTTGAGGGCAAATTCAGATTCTTGAATTATTTAAAGTCTTTTGTGGAGTAAAAGCAGCTGAATCATCACTGAAACATTTCACTCACTTTTCTTATTAGAGCAGAGACGCTGCAGGACTCAGCTTCTATCTGGTTTTTAACTTTTATTTTGAAACCATGACGTGGATCAAGTGCCGAGCTGAAGTGACGTTGGAGCTGTGTTCTGTTCACAGTTAAACTACATCTGTTACTACATATATATATATTTACTGTGTCTGGTCCGTTTGGTAGCATCATAATCTGAGGAGGTTTTCAAGCTCCTCCTTCCTCTTTGCTTTCTTGTCCTCCTTTTCCTCCTCCTTCTTTTTTCCTCCTTTTCCCTCTTCTACTTCTTTTTACACTCCTCCTTTTCCTCCTCCCTTTTCTCCTTTTCCTCCTTTCTTCTCGTCTTCCACCTTCTTGTTCTCCTCCTTCTTCTCCTCTTCTTCCTCTTCCTTCTCCTCATCAATCTCCTCCTCCTCCTCCTCTTCTTCTTCCTCTGCCTCTGTCCTCCGACCATCGCACTCGGAGCTGAATTCCATTAAAGTCGGCCCCGGTCACACTAATGGAAACGCCGCCGCCGCCGCCGCCGCCCCCCGCCGCTCTGTGCCCTCATGTGGCAGGTAATTGCAGAATCAATAATGAACGCTTTAAAGCCACGGCGGTGGAAAGGTTGCCTTGGTGACGAGCCGTTAACAGAAGCCATAGTGAAGTTGATTAATCTCCAGACTCCCGGGGGCGGCCGTCAAACTCTGCTGTTCGTCGGCCGAGGATTAAAAATCAGTTAAATTAAAAAAAGTCCAGAGCAGTTAAGGTGACCTAACTTTGCCCGAGAGGTCTGAACGTCAGGTGGAGAGAAAATACGAAGGAAGCAGGGGCTCTTGGGAAATGAAGCCCCCCCCTCCCCCCTCTCTCTAAAGGTGACTCCGACAGGAAATGATGTTTGTTTGCATTCACATGAGAATGTGATTTAATGTTTAACTACCGATGGGCCGCTGATCTGACAGTCGCTGATCAGGAGGAAACATTCAACAGATATTTCAAATATTTGGGGGATTTGTGGCGAAAGTGGAAAGATACTGAACCCGTAGAGCCGAGCATAGATTCTCCAACCTGCGCTAATGGTCATGTGTGTGTTGTTTGTTTCAGGAGTGTGTGGCTGCTGTGGGCCCCTGAGGCCGAGGTACAAACGTCTGGTGGACAACATCTTCCCTGAGGACCCCAAAGTGAGTAACTGCAAGTTTTAATAAAGGACATTAAAGGCTGTCACTGTCTCGCTGCAGTAGCCTGTCTGGGCCTTTAGCAGTGATTTAACACTGTGTCTGGTCCCCTGTTGTTATCACAGCGTTGAGATCGCAGCGCAGACACACTGACACCTCCTCAGCCACCAGAGAGAGAAATAATGAACTGCCCCACAACCAGTTATTATCACCCATTTGATTCCTTGACTCTTGTTAATTAAAACACTAAATGGGGTTCGTCCTTTTTTTTCCCCTGCATCCTCTCAGGTGCTTCAGACAGGTGCGCTGGGAAATCGAAATGCCTGAATGGTCGAGACTCTTTCTAATTAACCTGACAAGGTCTGGACCGTTAGAGCATTTCAATTTTCCCACCTGCTGAGAGTCAGAAGATCTGAAAACGCTCAGGGGACCTGTGGTCTCAAATTGTCTTTACATACAGCAGAACACCAGACAGCAAAATATCTTAACATCTGCTCCTTCCAAATAAATCCTTCTTCATCATGTGGAAAAACTGGAATCCGAGACCAGACGCACGAGGAAACAGGCGTCTCGGTTCTTTAAAAAGCTGATGACGTTTTCTCAAACCTCCAGGATGGCCTCAGTAAATCCGACATGGAGAAGTTGACCTTCTACGCTGTGTCGGCTCCGGAGAAACTGGACCGGATTGGAGCTTACCTGGCGGAGAGGCTGAGCAGAGACGTGGTGCGACACAGATACGGGTGAGTGACATTTGTTTTTGTTGTTTTTCTGTCCAAGTTCTGTTATTGACTGTAAAACCCGGGTCACACGGGTTAGAGAGCAACTCGTGTCGTCGCAGAACGTCTCGCTTTTCATTTCGTTATGAGGTTAGAGTGACCTCACTGTCCATGTGAGCCACATGACCTTCCAGAGAGTCTGTTCTGTTTTCTCTGCGTACCGTGCACAGCAAAATACACTTTGAAAATGAAATACTATAATATTAACACTTCCTGTACCTGTCTGTCTATTTTGAACTGCACATGAGATAGATCCAAGGTGCTCTACAGCGCCGAACACAGGCAAAGCCAAAATAAATCATTTTAAAATAAAAAATACAAGAAATAAAAAGGTTGAAGGAATAAAATAATACAAATAAAACATTTAGAAATGTGTAACATAATAAAATAAAATAGGTATGACCTTAGATTTAGTAAGACCGTTTAGTTAAAGGCACGTTCACAAGTTTCAATCTGGATTTAAAAACTGCAATGAAGGCAGCTGAGGCTCGAACCTGTTCTGCTACGCACCCGTGCCGCTCACACATCCAGTGCAGAGTGTGTCAGCCTTTAATTGGTCGATGGTTTGATTGAGCGGGACGATGACAGCTTAAGTGTTAAGACAGAAAGTTAATGCAGAAAGTGAGTAAAGCTCTTTTATGAAACGTTTAATAAGCACTGGGGTGTTCGTTGACATTTCCCTGAACCACTTCGTGCTTTCTGCTCCTGGAACCTGATTCAAACGAGCTGAGAGACAAAAGTGTCCCTCACACGTTTCTAAAAAAGAGGACACCCGGTCGTTATGATGTCAGAACTGATGTTGGATTGGTTCTGTTTCTGATTCCGCTCCAAGCTCACACTCAGAGAACACTCGCTCCCATCAGTACCCGTCATTATGTCATTATGAAACCATGACGCATCCGTCCAACGCGGAGGTCACTCAGATCCCAGAGATGTGACACATGAAAGTTCTGTATGGTTCCAAAAGTTTATACCTGAACCGGAAAACACCCGCACCTGTCTATCATTTGAAAACTGCGTTAAAAACTGACTGGATCCAAACCTGTACCGGTCCTGAGTCGTATGATTTGGGGCGGATCCATGACGACCTCTACAAATCGCTCCAGAAGAGTCTGGTGTTGCTTTCACATCCAAACTGAAAAAAGTGCAGGTGTGACAGAAACAAAGGAAGAAATAGAGCTTCAGTGACTGAGCGTAACAACCTTCGTTCTCAGGTACGTGGTCATTGCCATGGAGGCTCTGGACCAGCTGCTGATGGCCTGTCACTCTCAGAGCATCAAACCCTTCGTGGAGAGTTTCCTGCACATGGTCGCCAAACTGCTGGAGTCCAGAGAACCAGACCTGCAGGTCCTGGGAACCAACTCGGTAAGTCAGCGTCCTCCAGAGCCGTGAACAACAGTGCTGTTCATGTTTTTCTGCTTTGGCCGCAGCCTGGGTGCACGTGCACGCGCACAAACTCTCATGCACAACAGATTCCAAGGAACAACTTCTTGTGTGAGAGAGAGAGAGAGAGAGAGAGAGAGAGAGAGAGAGAGAGAGCAGAAGTTGACGTTGGTGGTTAAATACCTCATCTAACTTTTACACTGGCAGAAGAAACGGCTCTGTAACGTATCCTGTAATTACTAGAAGCTTCTATGTGTCGCCAGCAAATGTCGACTGAAGATGAACTCCAAGTTTTCTCTCTCTATCTCTCTCTCTCTCTCCCCCTCTCTCTCTCCCCCCCTCTCTCTCTCCCTCTCCTGCTCTGAGCCTGTTGTCCTTTCCATTGTTGGCGTCTCATCTGAGCAGGAAACAGAGCTGAAGGTTTAGACGCTGAAGCTCTTGCATTATTGATGTGTGGTATTTAGACTCTGACAGAGGAGGAGAGCGGATGCAGAGACAGGTGGAGGAGTTTGGGGGGGGGGGGGGGGGGGGGGGGGGGGGGGGGGGGGGGGGTGGAGGGTGTTGACATTGGTGCAGACCGTCTTTTAGGGCGAGGGACATGTTAATTCAGTTTCCTGATAAACTGAGATGCACTATTTAACGTAAGGTTGTTGTTTTTTTTGACGTTGCAGCTTTGTATTTGTTCTGCGAGGTAATTATCAGTTTAATGAGTTTGTTAGCGTCGCCAGAGCAACAACAACAACAACACAGAGCTCAACAATCGGTTGTTGCAGCAACAGTTTGAAACTGTTCGACCGCTTCGCACAAGGTTTCAGGATTCGCTTCACTTTCTGGACCCGAAGCCTGAGTTTCACTCAGATCTGTGTCTTAGCTGAGGCCGATGAAAACAAAACCTGGTTGGTGAAGGCGATCAAACATTGTCAGGTTTTTATTTTTTAATTTATCTGCCCGTTAACTTCCAGCTCCATCTCATCAGTCCACACTCCGACACATAAAGTCACAGTCATAGAGTCCGAAACACAAAAGAGCTGCATGGGTGTTTACAGCCTGATGTGAGTCAACAAACTGTATTTTAATTTGCTTTTCTCTTTGTCTGACCAAGCTACTGCAGATTCTCTTCCTTTCTTTAGTTCACTTGCTCTTTAATCTGGTTCTAAATCCTCTCTGTTGTTTTCACCGTGGTCGTCCTGCTCTTGTTTTCACACCTCACCGATTGGACGGTTCTCACTGAGGAGGCTTCATTTGTCCACAGTGAAGTCTTTGTCTTTGTGTGAAGCTCAGACCCAGAATCATAGTCCTGCTGTCTGGTGCAGACATAAGTTTAGTAAGTAAAAGGCAAAATTCGACATCAGGTGCAAAAACACAGAACCTCTTCAGTTTTATACCAGATCACAATAGTGTTCAGATATAACGTAAGTTTGGAGACAGGCTGATTCAAGTATGGTTTTAATTATACAGAGACGACTTGGAACAGGGGATTTCAAACTCACATCCATGGTGGGATCGTGGTTCGGTGGTAAATGATGCCGCTCCTGTCGGGACATCCTCTGTGGTACATTGAGATCTGAATTTAGATCGTGGTTCACGACTGTGTGTCACAAGGACGGCAGCATCCCTTTGTTTGTGGACACACGTTGTGTTGGGGTTCCCGTCTTGTTTTGTTTAAGTAGATGTCTGTAAATATAACCGTCAACATTTGTCTTGTCCCTCCTTGTCCCTCCTTGTCCCTCCTTGTCCCACTCTTTTGAGCCGGGTTATGACACAAGGATTGTTTGATGTTTTTATATCCATGATCCATGTTAAGTATAATAGAAATATATATTCAGATCTCTCTTATTATATTGGTGGAGCTTCGATGACGTGAAACCCTTTGCAGTAAATTTACCTCAAAGTTCCCCCCCCCCCCCCGCTTTGATTTGTGGCTGTGGAAAAGGTCTTTGATGATCGTTCAGCACAAACAAGAAGCGGGGGGGAACTCCGTTTACGGGCCGGGTGGGTCTTCATCAACATTACCTGAGTCAAGACTCAGGCGGCAGCAGCAGAACACTTTGCGCTGATAAAACTGCAGACGCCAGGATTTCTAAAAAGTTTCCTCCGAACTTCCTGTGAACTTTGCGTCACCCACCGACGAGAGGGATGAAAGACAGTAATGGAACATGTGGTGGGGGCTGAAGCAGTGACAGGTGGGGGTGCAGGGCCTCAGATGGCGCTTGAGATAAAAACGTATAAAATGACTCCCGGCTGCAGTGCCAAACGTCTTGGATGTAAATTGTTTGTAGTTTCTCGTATCGACTTATTTCTTTTTATCCAACTTTATACCAAATTGTCTCTTTCTCTTTTTATTCCTCAGGACGCCATGTTTGTCTCGTCTCTCATGAAACTATTTACAGCCACATTTCAGACCCGCAGGAAATGAATGGATGGATTTTAGTTCTTTCATCATTTCATATAAAACTTAATTGGACGCGTTGGTTTGTCTTTTAAAAGGTGTTTCTATTCTAAGCAGTGATGGATAACGACCAATTTTCCCAAAGAGGCGACAAGTGTGCAAATGGATTTTACTCTTTACTTCTTGTTATGTAATGAGTATGCACAGATAAGTAAAACCACTCCATTTCTTTTTTTAATGACACCTTTTTTTAAATCGAGCTCTTTAAAACTGCCCGAGGGAAACAAAACAAATCGTGCCCGAGTTCTTTTTACTCTCTCATCTTCTCGTTGTTGAAAATCCAAAGTGCTTTGCCACGAGGCGTCAGCGAGGCATGAAGCCTGTCGCTTTTTGATTAGTCTTATTTTCTCTGCAAAACCTCGAGCTCAACCAGAATTACCCACAACCCCCCAGACTTCTTCACGCAGAGCACTTACCCTCTCGATGTGAAGGGCTTCAGTCGTCTGAACGACTTTTAACGTGTTAACGAGGAAAATGATCCAGATGCACAAACATACAGCAACACTTCCAGAACCCTGCTGATTGTGTCAGAGCCTCCCACAATTCATGCTAAAATAAAATGCATTGTATTGGATGAATTCATTTGAAAGTCACTGTGAGCAAATCGCTCCCAAAGCAATTTGTCATTTATTGTTTTTTAATTTTCTTTCATTAACTATTCTCTCTCTCTCTCATATTTATCTCAGCTCCATTGTGTCTGTATTGCAACAGATCTGTGTGCATGTTGATTTTTCTAATTACCAGAAGTTAAGAAGTGCAGGCAGAGGGTAACTTACATTCATTCCTTTCTTGAGTTAATGTAGGTTTCAGTTTCAGTGATGCTGTAGATCCAGTCGTCCAGTACGTCTTTATTTCGCCTTCACTCCGTCTTGTGCTCTGATTGGCCCGTAGCTCGAACATCGGTTTGGCTTCGATCGCGGGCGTTTGTGAAGCGTGAACTGTGCTGTAGTCGTCACTGAGACAAAGACCGAAAATCTCCTTTTGAGAAGTGTTTCGTCGCCATCGAAGATCAATTGTGATTTTCTCCAATGATGCATTTTGAAGTGCATATAGTTGTTGAGGGCGTTTATATATCATCACTCATGATTTTTCTGCTGAGGAGGTAAAATACCTTGAAAAGGGCTGAATTAGATTAGTTAACCTTTTTTAATGAGCTGTAATTTCTTATCTTTGAACAGCTGTCTGTGTGTGATGAATATATTGTTTCATGAACAAATATAACATATTTTAATCGAGGGGGCACTCAACACCCACACTTGAGTCGTGACCAGAGTTTCCCCCTCAGCACCTCATAAACACAAGCTGGTAATTACTCCCCCTTCTATGAAAGTCTAACGCCTGGACTCCCTCCTCCTCTGCTGCGATGCTGTAATACATCAGGGACGCTGAGGGGAAGCCACTCTCCTGGGCGCAGGCTGCCGGCGGACCTCCCCCCACATAATGCCCAGGAGAGGTTAGGTGAAATGAAGGGATTATCAGGTAGAACCTCAGGGTTTTTGTCACTGATGCCGGGCAGTTTAATGCAGCGATGTGGTGTCGAGAAACGCCACTCGAGTGCAGCTGACTGCAGCGAGAGAGGAGGCCTCTCCAGAGGACACTGGTTTGAAGGGAGGAAATTACAGGCTGAACGAGAGGCGGGAGCTCGCTAATGGTTATGATTATTGCCACCATCACTTCCTGTTCACAGCCATGCAACGGTCCGACAGCGTTTTACCCTGAAGTCACTGGAAATGCTCCGTATGCCCGATTCCTCCGCAGACCTCGAGTGCCGCCACGCTGTCAGCAGTGTGGACGTCAGCGTGGACTGTCGGAGGTGGATTGAGGACAGATTCTGAAACTGACACTTTGCCAAGATGAAGGCTCGACTACTTTCTCTGTGATAAATATCGACTTGAATATTTTGTCTCTTAATAAAGTAACGGAAAAGATAAAGAGATGAGAAGGTTTCTCAGTGGTGTACATGTCATGTTCAGAATGTGTTGATGAGAACTGATTCTGGACGGAATGGTCAAACACTGGCTCTACAGAGGGACCTTCATTTATTTACCCGAAAGGCAAATTTCAGATTTGGTTGCTGAGAACTTGCTGAATGTTAATGAATGTTTTCTCCTCCTTCTTGTCTCCTCCCTAGTTCGTGAAGTTTGCCAACATTGAGGAGGACACGCCGTCCTACCATCGTCGCTACGACTTCTTCGTGTCTCAGTTCAGTGCCATGTGCCACTCGACGCACGATGATCCTGAGACCAGAACCAGGTAAAAGACAGAGATGCTTCCCACAGAGACACAGTAATTGGATTCTTGAGTTTCAGTCGGTGTTTCTAGAACAGACTTAAACTTCACTATGTTCAGGTTTGAAAGTATTTAAAAAAAGAAATCCTGTATTAACACATGTGGCGTTCCACAGGGCTAAATTGTGGGTCCCTTACCGTTTCCACTGGAAACGATGCACTCATTTTACATGGATGACATTTAAATATATGTTAATAATATATGTAATTTCATTTTATATTCAGTGATAAATGCCCAGAGGCGTATTAGCTCAAAATTTGAATTTTAATCATGTCTATAAGTAGATTTGTATTTTTTCTGGACCTTGATAGTTTGATTTAGGTTCTGTTGAGGAAGACTCTAGAAAAAACTTGTTTCCCTGATTAATTCTCTTCAGGCGGTGCATGTCGGAGAATCCAGCTGCTTCACTTTAAACTGCTTCTTTTGGGCAAAATGAAAACACACATTTACTGGCTTTCATTTTCACTTATGAGAATACTGATGGTGTAGCATCATTTGTGGTTATTGAGATATTTTATCATCTGCATCCACCTTTCAGAAACACCCTCATCTCTTAATGCAGCGACGGATCCTAGCGACAGCACATTCAGTGGGGCGGGGGAGGGGGGGGGCTGTAATACAATCCCCTTGAGCGCAGGTCTCATCCCACTTAAATCCAGCGAGTACAGAATTAAATATATCTCCTCCTGATCCATATTTCATGGCCTTCCCCTCCCACTGCAACCACAAGGCTCACTAGCAGCGCTGCAGGAGAGCCTCGCTGCGTTTGAAGTGCTGGAATATGAGCATTTGAAAGTCGTGATGGTGAAATGAAGTGTGGGAGAATGGCTGAGCTTAAATGATGTGAAGCCTTCAAGTGATTTTCAGAGGAACGGGCCTACCTGCCTGTAATGTCTCGCTGTGTCAGAGGTTTGAACGTCCTCTGAACGGGAACTTCAGTCTTTTGCAATTTTCAATTCTTCTATTTGTATAAAAAGGAACCGACAGTCTCATCTCACGCTACTTTACATCCCTAAGGTCAAGACATAGAATTTGAAATAAGAATAGAAACACATCTTATGATTAGTAACAGGAGCAATGACGGCACATTCAATAAATAACAGCGATGCTGACAGTGATAATAATGTTTCGAATAAATTAAAGACTCATCAGATCTGGATCCTGCAGAGGACACAGAGGAAAAGTTAGTTAGTTGAGGTTGATTTCTTCTACTGGTATTATTATATGTTCACTGGAGGGACAGAGGAAGGGAAGTGCATCATGGGAGTTTTCCTAGCAGTCCAGGTCTGTAGCAGTGTATCGGAGGGATGGTACCTGAGCAGCTCCATCAAAGAGGACAGTGATGAAGAGGGTTTCCTCCTCCTGAACTTTGACATGGAGAGAATACACCATGAAACTTTAAATTTGTCCCTTTGGGATAAAAACAGCTGCAAAATGATCGAAATAGCAAAGTGAGAATGTCGCTCTCGGGGCTTTAGCCGTCTTGTACCTGCACCTGATTGTTCTTGTTCGAGAACAGATTCAGGAAGAATCTGATTGTCTAATCTTCAAGATCCTCAAGAACCTCTTGAGGACTCGTCTCCTCCTGAGAGCAGCTTCTCTCCTAACACACTAACAGGCCTAACCACCACTTACTGTGCACTTCTTCACCTGATCTCCCGCTCGCAGTCTTATTGAGCAGATTTAGCTCTTCGCTGCTGCTTCAGCGTCGTCACTCAGCCGAGAGGCGCTTTGGATAAAAGCTTCTGACGAAATCAGGAGAGCTCCAACACGAAGCTGCTCCAACAGAACCAAATTATTCACGTTCAGAAATATCAAGGCATTGTGTTTTTATTTCCGTTCTGAACATGATATCTCAGGAACCAGGGACCTGCACTGGCATCAGTGAAACCTGCAGGCCAAGACGCTGTGGAGGAAGTCCACGTTCCAGGTTGACCTGCTAGTTACTGGCGACGCTATTGGCTGCTGTGGACGCCAGTCAAGCTTTTATAAATCTGCAGAATCAAAAAGTTTTGATGTCCAAACTCCCAAAAACACCTATATGCTGTTTCTCTAGTTTTTGTGGTAGTGTGAGAGTTCCTCATAATAACACACACACACACGACTGTACGCCGCCTCTGTGGACCAATCAGAGCCGGGCGAGTCTTACATCACCGCTACCTATTTCTGACTTTAGTCCCCGCTTGCGACGCAGGCGAGTGTATGAGCAATAATATGAAAAGCAGGGCGGGTGACCTCGCCTCAGGCCTGATCCAATAACCGCCAGAGAAATTCTATTTGGGACTTCGTCTCCACCATGGCAGCCAAACAAATAATGAAATACAGGAGAGAGAGGAAGAAGAAAGAAATAATCCCAGAATCCCCCGACTCCCCCGCCCCTCCCACCAACACACACACACACTCACACTCACACTCACACACACTCAGACGTATACATGAGACAGTAATAATGTATTTCTATGCACAATGTGCTCAAAGACGTGAACGCTCAGGCCTCAGCTGCTGCACTGACAAGTCTGATCCTGTGAGAAACTGTTTCTGCAGGTATTGTTTTAATTCTCTGCTGATCTGTGCTGGAGCCACGAGGTGGGCGTCTCGGTGGGAGCAGGCGTCTCGGTGGGAGCAGGCGTCTTGTAAAGCGCTGCGCGGTGTCACAGCCTCGCCTGAGACTCGCTGCCGCCGCCGAGCTATTTATACCTTCTTAACAATCCAGCTGGCAGGCGGAGACTTTCTGTGTCTCCACGAACAATGAAGAATTATATTTGTCTGACACCTGGCTCCCCAACCGATTCCTCTTTCTCTTAGAAATCAAACTGCGACCCGACGATTGTAGAATCACTTCGCTCACGTGTTTCTCAAATGAGCTTCTACGTAAAGAGCCTTGAGATCATGCATATTAGGATTTTATGATTTGAATTGAACGGCTCCACTGATTTAATTCTTTTATTCATTATAATTTATACCAGAAGAGCTCTTCAGTTTGAATTATTGGAGCCTGACTGGGCTCTTCACCAAAGCAAATGATTTAAGAAAATGTCTTTTGGGCTATTTTGAGAACTGAGTTGTACGAGAATTAAGACGTAATTTAATTTCAGTAAAAAAGTTCAGAATATTTCAGATGAGTTGTTGTTGAGTGAGGTGTTTTTCTCGTGCGTCTCCGAACAGGATCCGCGTGGCGGGGATCAAAGGTCTGCAGGGCGTGGTGAGGAAGACGGTGAACGACGAGCTGCAGGCCATCATCTGGGAGCCGCAGCACATGGACAAACTGATCCCGTCCATGCTGTTCAACATGCAGGACAGTGACGACCTGGACAGGTGATGCACACACACACACACACACACACACACACACACACACACACACACACACACACACACAGGAAGCTCAGAAGGGAGATCCAGTGGTTCGGCCTCGGTATCCCATAATTCACCTGACGTTAGATTCCAAACAAATCCAAAGTGGAGCAGCAGGATTTTTTTGTGGTGATCGGACAAATTTGGAAACTGTTTGTGCGGCGCTCATCGGTTGAGTTGGCATTAATTGTTGTGGTAGCCACTTCCTGGACGGACTCATACAGTTGTCATTCACCACCTCGTACGAAAACATCCGACCAGAGGCTCAAGCAGTTTTCAGAAAATGTTGTTTACAGCTCGTCCACACCGGCGTCGGCCCTCRTCAACAAAACATCTGGAGTCTCCTCGTCTTTCCAAGTGGACGTCTTCGTCTTCTACGTGTACGGCTCCTCTTCTTCATCCTGAGAGATTTGTGTTCTTCCAGTTACACGTCCGTCACGTGTTAGAAACCTCGGAGACACGCCCACTCGCTCACTGAGAAGGTTCCAGATGTTCTGTTTTCTCACATGGACTCACTCTGACGTTTTGTAGATGTTTTACCAGGAGGCTGCAACTGACTCAGAAATGTGTGTTGTCGTTCAGCCGCTCCCGAAAATTTCAGACCTCATCCTCGTCAGTTTAAATACTATTATATATAATAATATTTTCAGAAACATCCTTCAGGTTTGTTTTCTCTCTTTGTTTTGTGCTCATCTTTATTTTTGACCTTCTGCCTCAGCGAGAGAAACCTCCATCTGAACTTGAGCCGGGGAATTACCGCGCTCGATCTCCTCGCGGCTCCTCACACCTCAAACCTCATTATATTCACTCAATCCTCAAATCCAGGCTCGTGGTCGAGGTGAGGGAGGAAATGCGATATGTCACACTGAGGTGTTTTCAGTGTTTTCCTCATCGTCTCCCTCATCGTCTCCTCCTGTTGCTGAGAGGATCAGTGATGGCAGAGATCAGCGAGGACAGGAAGCTTCACACTCAACACATTTCATCCAGAAGAAACCACAAGACAGGAACTCACACTTCACACATCAATATAAGATGAATTTATTGTTCATTATAAACGAGATATTCTTTCTTCTGTCGTCTGGATCTTTGCATCTGGACGGACAGAGGGAGCTGCTCAAAGAGACACAGTGGACAATCATTTCTAATCCTAATTATTATTATTATTTATTTCTTATTTCAGCAGGAATGTCCCGTCTCCTCTTTCTTTTTAATTTCCTCTCCGTCACTCGTCTTTTCCTGACTTTTGAACTTCTCCTCCTTCATTTTCTCCTTTACGTCCTCTATTCATCTCTTTTATTCTCCTGAGTATTTTGTAACCACCTCTCCTTTCTTGCTCCGCCTCGCCGTGGTGTTCTCTTGCCTCTCTGTCTCGTTCGGATGGTTTCCATGTGAACGAAAATCTATTTTTGGACCCTGTTTTTTATTCCTCCATTTGGGTTTTTCTTCTTCTCTTAGCTTCTCTGCACATAAAGACACACAAGGAGGAATGACTTCTGTTCATGGGTTAGGATGTGATCCGACCACGGCGCTCATCTCGATGGTGACGTCGCCCGCGTTGACGCTGTCCATCCTGCACAGAAAAGAGTGAGAGAGTCGGTCACTCTGCGTTCGGCCTGTGGTGATGCCGGTTGTCCACTGAAGTAAAGATCTGCTGCTGCACAAAGATCTGTTGACCTGTTCGAAGTTCAGTGAAGCTCGACTCGACACAGAGCCTGAACCGGAGAATCAGTCGTCGTTGTTGTGATCGACAAAATCACCTGTGTTAATGAGTCCCAGCAGCTCTGCTCCCACTGGGCCCTCATCAGGAGCCTGACGCTGATGAGATGAACGGTTCTCGAGACAAGTTCTATTATTATTTCATTAGATCGATAACTAATGCTGTGATTTCCTCCAGAGAAGTAGAGCCTCGGTATAAAGTCCCATTGATCAGCATCAGGTTGAAATGACCTCTTTGAATCAAGCGCACCCACCTGCCGAAGATGGATCTCTGATGAGCAGAGAGAAGTTTATTAGTCTGAGCATCGTTCCAGGTGGAATCACTGAAAATGTCCGGGAGAGAAACGAGCCTGGTAAAGAAAAGCATCAGCTCCCAGTCATCGGCAGTGAAGAGTTCAAACTGCAGGGTAATCATCGTGATTGTCACCTGTAATCATGCAGCGCACATCACAGTGTCATCTGGCCTGGTTCACACGGCTGCAATCACACACAGCTACACGCAATCACAGCCACACTCTGGTCTGGTGAAGCCACTTCTGCCTCTGCCACCGAATCTTTACACCTAAATAAGCGTTTAACTCCTCCTTCCTCTGCCGTGGGTGAGGTTGTGACCTCCCTGACGTTTTCTACAGCACCGACATCGGAACAAAACTGTGAACACACATTTCACGTTCAAAATATTTAAGGATACGACGGTGGGGCCATCGTTTTCTCTCCTCCCCCYCCCCCCCCCCTCTCTTTCGACCAGCTCAGCCAAGCAGCGTCCCGCAGAACAAATGTCCGTCAGCAGAGTTGGGATTTGTCCTTTTAATAGCGAGACACAGTCAGACGTCGGCCTCGGAGGAAAAAACTGTTTTGGATTATGCTTCCTTGCCTCATGGCGGCTTTTTAAATGGAGCCAGTGGACGCAGCAGGACGCCGTGGTCGAGGGCGTGTTTGATTCTGTTAATTGAATGAAGAAAAGCTGTCTCACACACACGCACGCACACACACACACACACACACACACACACGTGCGCACTCTCTGAAGTTTCAGGGCCGCCACCTTGAAAGCGACTTTGACCTACTCGAGTGTTTTTCTTCTTCTCCCTTCATCTCTGACGTTGTTTCTCAGTTTAGTTTCTTCTCACCTCTGGAGAATCAGACACTTGATTCACAAACATAAAACACAAACATCTGGCTCAATAAGAAACGACCAAACCTTTATTTTTCTCACTTTGAAACACTCTGTAACTTTATTTTGAAAGTCCTAAACCTATGAGCGTTATTCATTTTTCCTTCAGGGCCTCTGCTGCCAAACATTCAAAGCCAACGCAGCGTGTTATTTATAGCTGCACCGTTATCGTATTCAACAAACGTCCAATTCTTCCTGTGGTCAAATACAACGTGTGGTCATGATCTAAACCACTCGCTGCTCAGCAACAGCTTTAACCAGCTGTCAATCATGTGACAATCCAGCTTTCACAACGTTTCCTCTGGACTTTTCATTCAGCAGCATCAACCCACCTTCTATTACTGGAGAGATTTTCATTTTTATCTCGTTTTGCTGCCTCGAACAAGCAATAAGCATTTAATTTCCTCTGAACGGCCTGTGTGGGCCGACAGTAATTGCAGTTTCCCTCCTGAGACCCGGCTGCCAACAGTCCATCTACGTGCCGGCTTATTGCTGATTTACAATTGCATTATTTTATCAATACAGCATAACAGGAGCGGCCCTGGTCTCATGCCAGGCCCGTGGATTCTTGGCAGCTGTGCAGCAAATGACAAACTTGAACTCAATGAGTTTTGTCTTGGATGTTGAGCTGCAGGATCCACAGGGCGGAAAAATGGAAAAACTAACTGAGAGAAGTCTTTGTAAGAAAATTAAAGTTTGTTTGTTGAAATGCTTAAAGAAAACTCATGTTCACATCAGTTAATGTTCAATCTACTCACAAAAGTCAAGTTGATTTCTTACACACATTCGATATTTTCTCAACTAGAAGCTTCTGAACGATCACAAGAACCTTCCCTGTACCACCAGAACCCCAAACTCCTCAAACCTTCCCACTGACCACTTAAGAATCCTGAAGGATCCTGAGAACCTCGTGAAGGACAGCGAGAATCTTCCCATCAACCACAAAAAAACACCCGGACCATCCAAACAACCTTCCCAGCAGCCCTGTAACTGACCTTCACAGCCAGAACTTCCTCCTCACACGATCCTCGAGAACCTTCTCACTTCGAACCTCGAAGGAATCTAGAATAACTTTCCTCTCATTTCATCGTCGGTCTCATCTTCTCTGTGATGATTTGACATTTAGAACATTTCTTACCCACATTTTTTTTTTTACAGTGTCTCTGATGTAGACAGATTGACGCCATGTACACACACACACACACACACAC